CCGAAGAGAGAAAAAATTAAGTCAAATTCAATTTATTTCATTTCTCTTCTCGCAACTATCGGGCTCGTTTTCATTTCATTCGCACAGATTCTAACTGAATCCGTCTGTGTTCTCTTCTTGTTCCGAATCAGATTTACTGAAATAATTTCCATTTAAATTTGTTCAAATTTGAGCTTTTTGTCCTCGAACATCGTATCAAGAACCACATCATGATGACGGATGACTTTTCAATATAAAACCTATTCGAGATTTCAATCACATATACACAGAGAGACACGCACTCACCGATATGCCAATCACATGTTCCATTCAAATCAACAAAGAGTTCATCATTATTCTTAACATTTCTTAACATTCACAATGAACAAAGATCGCCTTGATACAATTAGTTGATTGTAAAAAAAATAATCAACATCGATCTTTGGCATCACAAGTTATGTATGCTCTTTTTCGAAATTTGATCGAATATTATGAAATCTCCCAATTTAAATATGATAAATGTTTAATTTGTCACGAATTTAACATTTTTTTTCCATTTCTATTAAATGAAAAAGCAAAACACTGCCAGTCATACAATTAAGTAATTACATTTTCTATAAAGTTCCAATAAAAAATCTCAGCATTTGGTAGATTTTAAAACCATGAATCATTTACAAACAGTATAAATTCAACATATGTTTGTCTAATTAAATAAATGATCCTATTCAAACTTATCAAATTCCATAGTTCGTACATTTTCTCATTTTTCGGGCATAAGAAAAGTTGTTTTCTGAGTTTATATAGTTTACTCTCTTGACCTATTTTATCTTTAATAAATATTAAATTATATGGCAAATTTATTGTTTTAATATTGTATATTAAATGGCAAAGATGCATGAATCTCTCGTGAAAGTGGTTTTTAAGAAGAGCTTATTACTTAATGTCATATAGTCAGTACTTTAACTTTACTGTAAATCGTACCAAGTGTGCTTCCAAAATGTGATGTGCTCCATCATTTCGAGAAAATTCATTTTTGCACCAAGTGAAATGATTAAACTTATTCAAGTTTTACATCTTATCTCATATTATGTTAAATAACCCAAATAATGAAAAAGAGTCTTAACTCTCTCTCTCTCTATCTCTGAATGAACACAAACAAACTGACATTTAACAAAAAAAGGAAACAAAATCAAGTGATGTTCAACAAACGAAATGCAGGACCTTTTTCTCAACGAAAAAAAAACTTTTGGGCACACAAATAAATGACACAAACATTTTCCTTGAGTCATGGATAAAATATATCATTTTTGACATGCGTTTGATGTGTATGTATGTACGGTGAGAATTAAAATATATACCAAACTTTTTGATGGAAGCATTCCCCAAGTGTATTCAACCGAACAATTCCCTAGTGATTACACAAAGTATTTATCATAGAATATTGGCCGGATAGGTTTACCGAACATCCAAAAATTCATTACTATCTAATTATTAGTTAATTAAAAAAAGCGAAAGAAAGAAAAACCAATAAAAAGTATAACATAGAGTTTAAAGAAAGAAAATGAGCAAACCGTTTTTACGGCCAATATTAATTATTTTCTTTCGGTTTCCAGACTGATTGAGCATTTCGTTTCTACGCTTTATTGCTAGATAAATCCCCAGCTTTATTATTGGTTTGTTTTTATGATTACTTCTGTTCGTTCTCTATCATTCTTTTTTTTTCGATCGCTGTACCCAAGTGTTCATCCGGATGCCGTTTTTAGTGCAAGTTATTTTTTTTCAGCGTTGTTTGCATTTGTAATGCAATAACTTCAAGTAAACTGAACATTATCTATGGATTTATGTTGTTTTTGTTTGAAATATTTTCATTTCTATCTCAGTCGCGCTTCTTCGCGAATTTGGCTTTTACAATGCTCAATCTCTGTCACTCTCTTTCATTTCGTTTTATTTAATTCAAAGTGTATTATCCACTGGGGTGACTATAAGAAAATATGAAAAGTGAAAGAAATTGGATATGATTTCCCATGAAAATGAAATTGAGTTCAATGAATGATTTTGATAGCATCAGCAAAAATTTTCAGTTTCCGGTGTTATTTTTGGAAGTAAATCAGCCAGCATACACGCACACTAGCTCCCGATATTCCTTTTCACAAGCGAATAAAAGAAAGGCACACACACACACAAAATGGAATTGCATTGAAATTCATGAGTAGTTTTCGTTTTTAGGAATCAATTGTAGATGCTGTGGATATCCTAGCATCAAGTTTCTCTCACTAACTTCCAATTTGTCGGATAAATTTAACAAATCTAATGTTTTCAATAATGGGCCCCTTTTGAATATTCAGCATGTGAACAGAGAATATTCAATATACTCATTCATAAATCAAATTTATGATGGTAGCATGCCTGACGAAACGTGTATTGTGCATCTTATGATGCACGTGCATATCATCAAGTAAATCGATTTCGTTTTGCCTTCAATCAATGAAAATGCATATAAAACTTTTCTTGAATCGGAAATCTATCCAACAATATCGTATTTTCGGTTGTTGAATAGTAATCGCATGAAACTTTTTCCGACAATATCGACGACGACGACGTCGCTTCTTGAATAATACACCAAATAGAATTGAGCCGATATTAATTTGATTTACTTTGAATACATTAAATTCTAGATTAAATTAGTGTATAAAATTCTCCTTTCAATACTGTTTGTTAAAGTAAAAAGTGGAATATAAAACATATGCCACTGTGATTTCCGTTCGGTGAGTTTTTTTTTGTTGTCCTTTGTAAAATTCAAAATGAATCGATAAAATAATCTCGATTGCAGCATAACTAAAAACGAATATTTTACCGGAAATCGAAAAAAATCGTTTTATGTAGCGCGGTCGTTGAGTTGCATTAAAAATGGGATGGGAAACATTTTTCCATTGATTGATGATTCAAAAATATTCAGAGCTCCATTCTAAGCACAGTGGCTGGCATGAGATTTAGTAACGAGATGGTGTCGGTATTATGCAATAAATAATTTTGCTCTGAAAAATGTTTTATTTTCTCTCTCGGTTGCTGTGTGAACATTCCATCCAACGAATATGCCATTAAATTTCCAAACAGAATTTTTGTGTCTTGCGTGTTGAATCGTGCCCAAATGGAAAATAAACAATCGAATAAAAATAGCTTTTAGCATAGCATAAAAAGAGACATTTTAGAAAGTGGAAGCCCGTTCCATGCACACACACACCCCGTGTACTCAAAAATAGTGTATAGTCAGCACGTGGCACCTGTAATTATAAATCTTAGTCCATATTTCTGCCGGTTTGAAACTTTGTCCCTCAATTATGGTAACCATTTGCCGTAGGCAAATATTTAGCCATGGTCTCATTTTACCTTTTCGGTTTTCCAGCACAAAGTCACAAAGAAAAAAAAAACTCCAACGAAAATACCGAATGATTTACTATACTATTGGGTATTCATCATGCTGATGAGAATTTTGTATGCGAAAATTGTGAAAGCTGATTTGATATGGGCGAAAAGAAAAAAATATTTATTGTCTTTTTCTCAATCTTGATGTGATGCTGCTTATCGAATTTGGAGCAAAAATTTTCATTCCTATGCCTTCGCCTTTTTCAATAAGGACCGTAACAAAAACAACACGGGTAAGACATTTCGTGATACGATCGCTTATATTTTTATTTCACTGTTTTCTTTGAATTTTCTTCGGTGGCACAATTTCTCTACTTTCTCTCTCTCTCTCTCTCTCTCTCTCTCTCTCTCTCTCTCTCTCTCGGTGTAGCCATTTGTTTTCGCTTACGCATTGCTCCACTTTGTAAGATGTTTCTTGTATTTGCTTTTGGATGCCAATCCAAAATCCAAAGAAAT